CCCCTGCCCTCCTCGTTGGTCAACCCTAAACTGTGGCGACGGTCAGAGGCGGGGAAAGGAGAAGGGGGGGGGGGGTAGGGGGTATAGAAAAGAGTTTTCTATAGTAAAACAACTGCTACCTGCGCCGTTGCGATGGAGGTAGTTGTACCTATGTCAATATATTTTCTTCTTTATTAACCTCTTTTAAGAATTATTATTATAATAAAATTTGTTCTTATGAATGTGGTTTTGATGTAATTAAAAAAATTAGTTTTGCTGTGAATTTAAGATTTTTTTTTCTATTATGAAGACAAAATACCCATCGCCTCTCCTCCCTCCTCCCCCCCTTCTCCCCCGCATCCGCCAATGCATACCATCCCCAATAGAAAGGTCCACCCTCTAAGAGATTGTGTAGTCTTTATTGGGCACTACAACGTGAAGAACACATGCATACCTCTTCCTCCGGTTCCACATCAATTTGCCGCGCAGTAGCAAATTCAGCGATCAATTCCAGTGCCGAAACGACACCAATACCTTGCAAGCCATCTGTATAGTCGCCACCCGATAAAAGCGCTATCTGAATTGATTCCCATCGTGATAACCCTTCAAAATAAATATTTTTTTTTCAGTGCGGTAAATGATAAACTCAACATCCCCAGATGCACAATGCACTGGAGGCTTGTTTTAGTTAACAAACATATAATGCTATTAAAAAGTAATAAAGAAACGTATGTAATCTGGATTTTTTAAAATAAAATTTTTGGCGGAGACAAAAAGTCCGAGTAAATCCTAGTGAAAAAACTTCCTAAGTGACGAATAAACCTAAAAAAAAATCGAAAAATATTGAAAATTACACATTCTCAGAAGTCTCAAAGAAACCACTTATCATCCAAATTAGCGGTTTAATAACCCAAACTTGAGGAGGCGAAACGGCGCCAGAACTGTCAACTGATTAACTACTAGTTGACGCAGCACTGGTCAAAGCAAAAGAAAGGACACCAGACAATTTCAACATTGCAGCGATCTTAAAAATGCGAAATACAGAGCATCTTTCTCGACTAAATTAGTGTACATATAGCCCGGGTTTTCCATCCCATAAACAAAGTTAGCGTAGATTTCCCGCACTGTGGTACCACAGCGCAATCAAAACTACTTTTGCAGTTGTGTTATTTTGCGATACTGTAAGTGATTTTTACTAAAATACTCTACAAAATTCTATAATCCGGGCACCTTAGGTCAAATCAAAGTCTGGCATTCGTGACTGCGCCTTTGAATTGGAGAACTAATACTCTCCGAGCAGAAACAAGGGGATCTGGAGATTCCGTAAACCAGTAAACTGCTTTAAGCAATACAGATTTTCGAAGGCACTTACCTAGCTGGTCCTGAATGGCTCTGCTTGAATACATTTGCAGTTGGCGCTTCTGGTTGAACATATTTCTGTAGACAACGTTGGCACCGAACAACCAAACATCCGAATCATCGCTTATGATTCCCTTAAACAGCAAACAGTGGTGTGTTTTTGGATTCCGGTCTGTTTACACCACTTAGTATGAGATCAGCTGTCCTGCGTCGAGCTATTAGCTTGGCGTTTCTCGGAACAAATACTTTTTTTTGGCCAATGCTTCGCCCATGCGCAATATTATTCAAATTTTTCAGTTGTTTAGTCTCTAATAGGTTACAATTAACATACTAATAACTGTTGGGAAATTTTTCAAATTTTGCTGTTTTTCTATAAAATAACCCACAGGAATTACTTAAACAACAGAAAACGGAGAATCATCAGCATCTTTATCACAAGGAAAAGCTGCACCGGACAATGCAAAAGGGAAGAACATTCGTATTCGCATTTTTCGTATTCGCATTCGTATTCGCAACATTCGTATTCGTATTCGTATTCGTTGTTTAGCCCCTAATAGGTTACAATAAACATATTAATAATTGTTGGGAAATTTTTCAAATTTTGCTGTTTTTCTATAAAATGACCCACTGGAAGCACTCAACTGAAACAAACAGCACATCAATCACAAGGATCGCAAAACAATATTAGTCAATGCAAAGGGGAAAGTTGCTTGAAGCATAGATGATGAACAATGCCCAGATTGTAGTTGGTCAAAATATTAAGATTACTGATCCAGTGGGTATCATATAAATCAGATTTAACGTAAAAAAGTCACAAAAGCCATAAATAAATCATTTACAAAAACAAGAAATTTTTATTCAGGTTGAACGTGAAATTCGGTCAAAATATGGATTTAAAACAATGGTTCACTTTCAAAGACCTGTGTGGGAAAGTATATAATAAGCACTTGGAACACAGAGGAAAGTACATAATAAATAGGGCTCACGTACGGGCACGTGAAAACTATGGCGGGAAAATTCATAACTCGCGAATGAAATAAATGGTCGCGCACCAGACTAGCCGGTGCGATCATGCGTTTTGTGCAATTCAGCCCATCGAACGATTGCCTATCAATGGTTTTCAATGCTTTTTACTTCAGTCTATGCAAAAATAGTTCAAACATTGGAAAACAGTTAAAAATTTCACGCATCAGCGCATGAAAG